GGAATGACGGTCTTGCCCCCCGCACCGTAGAATGCGCCTTCGATACCGTGAAGAGAGAGTGAAGGCAGACGCATACGACCCATCAACACAGACGCTTTATCTTCCGAAAGTGCGACTTTTGCTCCTGCGGACAGTTCCACGTCTTCGACTTCATAGTCAAGGTTCTTATAGAGCTGCCTGTAGCATGACAAGGGGAGGAGTCGGTAGCACGAGCAGATGTGCGAAAATGAGAGCATGCCTTTCTTCCTCGCTTGGAGGAGGTACCATCTCGTCAACGCCGGGGATGAGGATGTTACCTTTCGTATCGACAAGCCTGCTCATGAGAGCGACGAGGTCGGTCATGGGCTCATGCACTGTGCGGCCGAAGACGCCTGAATGAAGATCTCTAGCCGGACCAGATACGATGACCTTATAATACGAGATACCACGAAGTCCGTAGGTCAACACAGGGGTCCTCGTGTTAAGCCAATAGTTGTCTGACTGGAGATGTCTGATAAAAAGAAGGTAGGAGAAGTGCTGGAGGGGATGCTTACAATGCAAACCGCATCGACACCATCAAACCAGGAGTCCTTACCCTTCTTAACCTCTGCAAGAATAAACTCATCAAGGCCCTCAGAGCCGGACTCTTCCATGCCCTCGAAACAGAAGCGAAGGTTCACGGGAAGGGGCTTCTTGAGGGTATGGTGGGCTTCGAGTATATTAATCCAGCCAAAGATGGGACCTTTGTCATCGGATGAGCCACGACCGTACAGACGACCAGTCTTATCGTCTCTGGTCAATTTAAAAGGCGGGAAGTCCCAGCCGTCAGAAAGTTGCGCCTAGAGACAAGAGGTAGAAGTTGAAGCGATCAGAGATAAGAATGAATGAATGACGCACCGGTTGAACGTCGAAGTGGCCGTAAATGAGAATTGTCTTTTTAGATTTGACGTCACCGATCCTGCCCAGGATAGCTGGGGGGAGCTTCAACTTTTGACCCTCCATTACATGAGTGCCAAGATCAACGGCTTTGGTCTCAACGCCATAATTCTTCAACTGCGATTCCAGAAAGGATGCCATGCGAAAGACATCGTCACGGTGGACTGGATCGCCTGATACACTTACCAGCAAACACGCTATAAGAGCCAGACCGAGTTATTAACGAATATCAACTATACCTAGGGATTTCTACGGCTTGAGCCAGGCGCTGAATGAAGCTATCCTTGTTAGCGTCAACAAAATTGAGAAAATCCAGAGTTGCCATGTGGGGGGATGGATGGATAATGGGGATATACAGATAGTATGTATGATACGATATACGATATGATATGATATGATATGATATGATATGATATGATACTACCATAGTCACGTGATAATCCATCATGCATGTTCACGTTCAAGGCCAAGGTAACGAAGGTCGAGGTCGGGGATGTGATTTTGAGTAAACTTTCCAGATAATAAAGATTCGAGTGAGATGAGTTTGGTCAATCGACACCTCGCCTTCACTTTCTTGTTATTGTCGCTTGACTCGAGCCATTCGTCAATTTTGTCTTCTCTTTCTTTCTTCCCGGATAGCCACCATTGATAATACCACCATGTACTCCCACATTCCCCGAGTGGCGTACTTGCGTCCGATGGCACTCCCTTCCCTGCTGCTGCTTGTCGGTCATATAACCAAACTCCAAAGAAGTGCTCGGGGTATAAAACTAGGAGGCTGTTAATCACGTTCTGGTCCTTACCCACGAACTTGTCCTCTCTCAACCACATGTCGTGGTATGCAAAGAACACCTCACGATATCGTGAAACCGCTTCTGGGTGACCTCCGAAGAAAGAGCCTGTGCCAACAATGTCAACATTTGTTTATCTACGAATTCAGGAAACTCGCACCTTCACTAAAGCTGTCTCTCGCATCTAACGGCCCATGCTCTTCTCGCCAAGTCCTGAACTCACGCGCGGGTGGATTCCAAATAGGAATGAAATTATGTCCTCTCTGCCGATCCAGTTTCCAGGCTAGCCTCAGCAAACACGTCCGCAACCCGCCCTGCATCTGGCCATGCGCGATACGGTCTCGCCTCCCGTAAGCTCCCCGCATCATTCCAAAACCCGTAATCATACGCCTGTTTCAACCGTGCACCACCATTCCGCAGACCCTCATCTAGAAAGAATGCCTTGGCGTTCCATACTGCGTACAGTTCCGGTCCGTGAAGCTCCTTCTCCGGGTCCAACGCGTGTATTTCTTCGTACTGCTTCTCTAATCCGCGTAAGGGTGGTACATCGAACGGTGTGCTGAATGAAGTATTGAGGGTCAGCGGTAACTGGCCCCGTAGTCGTTTGATGAGCGGTGCAATGTGAGGCGGGCAGAAAAAGTACACATCCGTGGTGACTTCCTGCAAGAAGCCGCTCAACCACACCTCATAATCCGACATGGGGTGTTTCGACTTGGACAACGGGAAGAAGGCCGAAACAAGAAGGACCCTTGGTAATTCCTTGTGATCTTCGGAGATAATTGGAAGGGCATTTCGTATTGGTTGAAAGGAGTGGACATCCAAGCGGAGGAGGGTAGTAGTTACGAGGAGGCTCACCGCCACGAATGACAGGAGTAATGCTCGACGGGCTGAGCACAAAAGGAACCCCTTCTTTAGAATTGAAACCCCAACCATGTAGGTAGTAGATAGTAGAGGTTTGCTATCAACAACAAGACAGACAGTGACAGTGACAGTGGCAGAGACAGAGAGGAAGAGGGCTAGGCAAAAGTTGTTAAGTTGTTGAATATTATAATTTAAATTTCATTTTCCGATGACCCCGAAAGGACAGCATCTATTCCGTTACGATTGTACACTTCATCTCATCTCATCTCTTCGCTTTGATAAGTCCCGCCATGATATCGAAGCTATTTCCATCCGGTTGCAAATCGATGTACTCGTCCTCCGCACCGTGCCGCCAACCCTTACTCCATCCTGTTCGCTCAGGTATGGTGCGCAGTAACCCATGATCATGAGTTATCCCAACGATCCGGACAGGACGAGGTGGATCGATCGTCATCACCGTCACCAGTTGGTCCCTTTGTGAAGGACGAAGAAACCCTATCACCACTTGACATGGCGCATGGACGTAAGTAGGGACTCACGAATGCATCCATGCGTCCAGATAAGCATCTTCAAAGGGCGCCCAACCGCCTCTTCCGTGGACAAAGGTGTTCCAAAGTTGTTCAAATTTGGTAAGGACCAGTGCTAGAACTGTCTCCGCGTCGAGCGATTGACCCGGCGAAGATAGCAGGGACAGCGAGGTCACAGGCGCGGGGGTGCACACGTTTATGCCACACCCTTTCAGTTCCAGCCGAACGTAAGCCCAGGAAAAAGTGACCGCCCGCATGAGGAAGTGGGAGGGGGAGGGGGAGAGAGAGATGAGCACGCACCGACAACGATGTCCACATTTCCGCCCGAAAAACTTGTGTTGACAAGAATGCCGCCCACCTTTTTCGTTTCGCCACCGGGCAACTCAACATAAATGTCGTTGGGCCATTTGAGCTTAACACGTGCACCATGATCATCGCCTAACACTCGCTTGTCGCGGCATGCGTGAATGACGGCAAGACCGGCTAGGTACTGTACAAAGACTAGGCGGGGTGCTGGGAAGGTGCCAAGTGGTGCGCGGATGAGGGCGGAGAACTGAAGGCATCCTTCTGGTGAGAGCCAAATGTTGGAACCGCGCCTCTCCCTGCAAGCTGGAATGAGGCGACTGAGACGATCGGGGCAGGGAGGGATGTCAGGAAACGTGTGTTCCTGGATCACGGTAATACTGTGCTGAGTGTTCGTGCAACGACGGGGCTAGGGAAGTAAAAGCGAGCCTACCTCTCTAGCATCGTCTGTGTGCTCGTTACTGCCTCACCATAAAGCAGAGCCTCACCTAGACCCCAGCTGTTGGGTGCGCTCGCCTGATCTCCTCGGGCCTCCTCGAGTGCGGCGAAGTATTTCTCGACGTCAAACCTTGGGGTGAGTTCCCTTGAAGGCAAGACACCAGGAGGTAGAATAAGGACGAGCCGTGGAATGTCATTCGTCGCATGATGGGGTGCATCAGTGGATTCACGCGCTTCCGCAACCAGGCGTGCGCCAAGTTCGGGGGTAACAATGTGGAAATGAAAAGTGTCGGCTATGTCTTTAATTATCCCCGTCTTGCCCGATGACTCTGCGGGGGGAGGCCAAGCCTTAGCAAGATTGTCTCCGTGACATGTCTCTTCCCGCGCTGGTGAACTAGAAACTGAGGAAGGGGATACGTAGGAATGATAGGCAGCGGGTTGAGAGGTTCATTTGAGGTCTCCTCTGGTAGCGTGAGACCAAGCGATGTCAATGCGTATCGAAGGAAAGCACGCATATTCGGTACTTCCTCGATGTCATCGGGCGAGATACCCCAGAAAGCTGCGCATCCAGACCCTACTGGAACCTGAACACCGGCCGTAGTCCCGATAGGCTCGTCCCAGTGTCCCCGAATAACCTCACGAGCCGCACACGCCACCTCAAATGAAACAGCAGCTGGCCGAAGACCAGAGAGTAACGCACCCGTCGGTAGCTGTAGGCGTATAGACGAGGGCAGAAGCACGTCCCGAGGCGTCTCGGGCACAATAGCGGTACCTGACCTTGGATCCCAAAGATGAAGGAGATCTCTTGTCGGACGGTGGAGAAGAAGAGAGGCACCTAAACCAAGACCTAACATACGCCCTCCTATGGAAATGTACTCCTGGATGATTTCATTGACTGGCTTGGAGAGTGACAGAAGTACGGGAGAGGTGCCAAGAGAAGGAAGAATGAGGAGTGCGCAGGAGGCAGTCCAAGGCTGGGTAGCGAGTGATCCAAGAGTGATGAATTGAACGGTATAAAAAGGAGACAGAACGGAATGTAGGACATTAAATATCCCAGTCCCCGAGGCAGACGTTATTGGAGACTTGTGGACAATAAGAACGTTCATCGTTCGCGTTCAACGCAATTATCAATCATCAAAACAAAAAAACTAGTCAAAATTACATTTACCGCTGACGGGGGTCGAACCCGCAACCCCCACCTCTGACATTTATAGGAAGGTGATGCGCTACCATTGCGCCACAACGGCATAAAAATTACCGTCATTTGTAAATTGATATAGTTACACAACACCTCCAGGGAAGGGGGGAGGGGCATGGCATAACACAGCGTAAGCGTAACAAAGTCCTGGCATCACGCCCCTACTCTCCGATCACTCAAAGGAGGTAAATGTGTAAACAATTTACTTAGTTATGATCCTCAACGAGGCTTTTGCTTGATTCGAGGTCGGCTTCCACCATTTCCTTGACAAGAGCATCAAAATCGGCCCTGCGCTTCCAGCCAAGTACCCTTTCAGCTTTGGTAGGCCTTCCCAAAAGTTGTCTGTGTGTAGTCACACTGAGTTCGATGTAGAAAAAGTAAATAGTGTCTCGAACTCACTCGACTTCGGCAGGACGGAAGTATTTGGGATCGACTCGAACCAAAATTCGGTCAGTTTGAGAGTCCTTCCCAATCTCCTCGACACCCTTGCCAGACCATCTATGAAACAGAAACGTTCAGTTAGAACCTGTCGTTCCGTAGCGGAGAGGCTGGCCAACTTTATCTCTACGCCGATCACGCGGAAGGCCTTCTCTACAAACTCGCGAACGTAGTGCATCTCGCCTGTTGCAAGGACAAAATCCTCAGGCGTGTCCTGCTGGAGCATACGCCACATTCCTTCCACGTAGTCACGAGCTGCGTGATGCGTGGCGATATAACCAAGTGGGGGTTAGTGACGACGTCACCTGCCTCTGGAAATAGCGTGGAAACAAATTACCGTGGCCCCAGTCCCGTCGCGCATCGAGGTTGCCAAGGTACAGGCACCCCTGCTTCCCAAGGCTGATGTCCGCGACGGCACGGGTAATTTTGCGCGTCACAAATGTGCGCCCACGACGGGGGCTCTCGTGGTTGAATAGGATGCCGTTGCATGCGTACATGTTGTAAGCTTCGCGGTAATTTTTCGTGATCCAGAACCCATACAACTTTGCGACCCCGTACGGGCTGCGGGGGTAGAACGGAGTATCCTCATCTTGCGGGACAGATTGTACGAGTCCATAAAGCTCAGAAGTCGAGGCTTGATAGAACCGCACGTGGTCCTGGAGGCCACAGGTACGCACAGCGTCGAGTAGACGCAACGTGCCGAGCGCGTCAACATCGCCTGTATACTCAGCCATGTCGAAGGAGACCTTGACGTGCGATTGTGCGCCAAGGTTGTAAATTTCGGATGGCTGAACCTTCGCCATAATGTATACAAGATTTGTGCTATCGGATAAGTCTCCGTGGTGTAGTTCGAACTTATTTTTGCCTGTTCCCAGTAGGGTTAACACTGAAATTGGGATAATGTAATACTGAGGAGCGCACGTTCATGCATATCGAAGAAGAGGTGGTTGATGCGTGATGTATTGAAACTCGAGGAGCGACGAATGATGCCATGCACCTCGTAGCCCTTCTCGAGCAGCAGCTCCGTCCTGGTAAACCAAGTAGATTCAATCGATTATGCAAGTCACACGAGGTTGAAACCTGGACACCAACAGATAGGATCCATCCTGACCGGTAACCCCTGTATTAGTACGATGGTCAGTAGACTAGTAAGGATCGACGGAGAGCATCATACCTGAGATAAGTGCGACCTTTCTCTCGTGCCATTCTGCTGGCGATGGTAAATTACGCAGGGAAAAAGGTGTAATTTTTGCGAGGGAGGCCATGGATCGCACCTGATCAAGTTTGGAAGTGTGAGAGGTGGAAAGGAAGGGTTGAATTGGCGGTGGGGATGCGGCAAGGGTTTTTAAAGGGGGGGATTGGAGCTGACGGCTCAAGTGTCAAGTTGAAGCTCTCAAGGTATTGGCGCTAATTAACTCATCGTTGTGTGAACACATCACTTCTTATCTTGGTTGCGCCTTTGCGAAACCCAAGCTCTATCTTGTTATTTCTATTGTTTCTAATTGAAGTTCGATAGTCTTTTTCTTTTCCTTTTCTTTTTCAAAGGTAATCACGAGCGCTCCGCTATAGGAAGCTTCGATCGACCAGAACGAACTAAGTGACCTGACCAATTAAATACCCCTCAAAGATCTGGTACAGTATTTCATTTTACAGTGCTTTATTGGGTCTGTCCATCTCAACACCCTCCCGCTTGAATCCATGAGCATGAATACCATTTGTGCCATTCTTTCTCGCGTTGAGCCGTCCAACCCTAGCATCAGTCTCGTAATGTTCAACAAACCACTGAACCGTTTCGCGTAATGCAACTTCGAACGGCGTGAATTCGAACTTGTTGCCAAGAAGTGACAGTAACTTCTGATTAGAGGCGGGTTTTCGGAACTGTCCATCCGCGCGAGAGGGATCGAACTGGGAACGCTCAATCACGTACTCGCGATGAATCGATGAGGAAGAAAACACACCCTATATTCCCCCTTAAAACCAATAGCCGCGACAATAGCGTCAGCAACTTGTTTGATACTGACTTCCTCATCCTCTCCGACTGTTGATAGATTCCACTCTCAGTACCACCATTCAGTCGTTTTGATCGAGCTTAGTTCTCACCAGAGAGGATGACGGGTTCAACATCGTCATACTCGCGCAACTGCCAGATAAATAACTTGGCAAGGTCGAGTGAATAAATGAATTGCCGGAGCGGCTTGCCGGAACCCAATACAACAAATGGGGTATCATGGCCTATCAAGCTCAGATGTAATTGATAACTGGGATCATGAAGAAAATTCAAAACTCACGTTTAGCTTGTAAACATTTGTGGATTAGGGCGGGTATCACATGGGAGTCATCCAGATCACTGATAGACGGGGGTTGTTACAAACTGCAGGGTGACGAAGGATCAGAGACCAATGCCGCACAAGTTGTCATTGGGCCCGAACACATTTGTAGGGATTGCTGATGTAAAGTTGCATCCGTGTTCATCATGGTAAGCCCTGCCATTCTCCTTCAGGTGTGTCAATTAGAAGTGTTTACTAAGTGGCACACCGGTTAGCGATGTCGATCATCCTCTTTGCGTAAGCGTATCCGTAATTGCTTTCATGCGGCGGCCCAAGATGGATCTTGGACTCGTCGAGAGGGTACGTGACTTTATCTGGGAAGACGCAAGTTGATAGACACGAAACCACTTTGGATACTCCCGTTTCGTGAGCGCAACGGAGAACGTTGTCGTTTATAAGCGTGTTATCTCGTAGGAAGGTAAGCTACATGAGGAGCAGGTAAATCAGTGCTTGGCAGGAGACACGGCTCACAGGCTCACGTGCCTTATGTCGCATATTGCGGTATAATCCACCAACTACAGGCGAGTTTCAGATAAGTCAGATAGGAAAGGATATCCATGTGCGACGCAGAGAAACGTATAGGTGCGTTACTCACCGAGCGCAGCGAGGTGAACGACGTGCGTAGGCTTATGCTTGTCAAATATTCTTCTGGCCTGTTCTAAATCTCTGTGGATGCTGGTATATCAGAGGACGTATGGTATGGAGTGCTAGATGAGCTTGCAATACTTGCCGTAGATCAGCATCCTTGGTACCAATGAACACCCACGTCTCCCCGGGACGTCTTCCGAATCTTGATCCCAACGGTTCGGTCTCGATGACATGTTGCATCGCATAACCGACAAGGCCAGTACCACCAGTCACGAGGATGACGGAGTGAGTGTTTTCGATAGCCATGAGAGAGGATATAGATGGAGAAGTAAAGTGAAACGGGAAAAACCTGAAATATTAAATATTGTGCTGATATTAGGGAAAACGAGATGGGCCCTTATTTGAAGGGAATGACCGGTTTAAACCGAGCGCCGAGATCAATCATTCCAAGATATTTTACACGACACGAAGATTTCAGTAGTTTTCAAAAGTAACGGCGCTTGTTAATGAGTCGCGGTACCAATGGCGCTGGCACTGGCATTGTCACTGACACTGTCACTGACACTGACGCTGACATTGACACTGACGCTGGCACGGCATTTGGCAAGTAAACATATTAGCACACTTGGGACATCCTCTCGTCTCATCTCATCTCATCTTGCAACTCACAGAAATTGGTTACATGGGTTTTTGTTTTTTTTCCCCGGAACTTACTCTCGAGGCTGTAAAATCTCCTCCACAAATTATGATTAATGATAGTGGCGTGACGGCATCATGGGTAGTTGTGAACCGATCTACACAATTTTTTGATCAGTACTTTCGATGTTTCAATGGCGTAATTACTGGGTCTGTCTGATCTAATCATACATAACTTAGTGTCGATCCAATAACTGACACCTTCACTTTCAACACTCGACAATGCGTCGAATCGGTAGTTTAGCATCGATGATATTTTCCATTTTATTTATAATACTTGTCTCCTACAATTATATACAAGCTAAAGATGGTGGACGAACGCGGAGCGCCCGCCCTTATTATAGTGGACAGTGGACAGCATTCCCCACCACAGGCAAATCAGATTCAGAGGACGACGATCAGTATTGTAACGGTGATGGCCAGTCATTTCATTTCTCTATCTCCTCCTACTATCTCTTCTCTTCCTCGGTTCCATCGGTTGCGTTCAGAGTCCCATCAGCTCACCAGAATTTCCGGCGCGCCATTGCTTTCAATGCTTCTTGCGAGCATAAATATCGCCTTTTTGCATATCAGCTGACATTCGAGGGTCGAATACCGATTAATATATAGCTAGATGAATTAATACAACACTCCACGCAACCTTAATTGAGCGATCCCAAGCATAAAGGCGGTTTGTCGGCGACCACAGTAAGCGCGCGTCAGAACGGTGATTATGTGTGTACTACGAGAACGGCCTTAGCGTAGATGCGTAGATAGTAGTCAGTGGCACTGACACCCTTCATTTGCTTTCTTGCTCGCAGGTGCATCAATGAACAGTAGATCTAGCTGGTGGAGCCTGTGTCGATTTACAGTGGCACTATTGCAAAGCTAACACACGGCAAATGGAGGTCCTGACTTCTATTGTACAATATTTCCATTGCGAACCTCACCTCATACCTATAACCTTTAGTCCGACAAACAAACCAGACACGCATCTTTTCCTGTGCGCTTCTACTGTACC